AATATTGTGAAAATGGCTATACGGCCCAAAGTAATTTACAGAATCAACAATATCCCCATCAAGCTACCAATGACCTTCTTCACAGAACTGGAAAAACCACCATGGACTTCATATGGAACCAAAAGAGAGCCCACATAGCCAAGTCAGTTCTATGCAAAAAGAACACAGCGGAAGCATCACACTACCAGACACAAACTATACCACAAGGCTACAGTAATCAAAACAGCATGGTACTGGTACCAAAACAGGGATATAGACCAATGGAACAGAACAGAGGCATCGGAGGCAACACAGCATATCTACAACCATACAGTCTTTGATAAACCTGACCAAAACAAGCAGTGCGAAAAGGATTCCCTGTTTAATAAATGGTGTTAAGAAAACTGGCTAGCCATGTGCAGAAAGCAGAAACTGGACCCGTTCCTGACACCTTACACGAAAATTAACTCCCAATGGATTAAAGACTTAAACATAAGACCTGGCGCCATAAAAACCCTAGAAGAAAATCTAGGCAAAACCATTCAGGACATAAGAGTAGGCAAGGAATTCATGACAAAAACACCAAAAGCATTGGCAACAAAAGCCAAAATAGACAAATGGGACCTAATGAAACTACAGCTTCTGCACAGCAAAAGAAACAGTCACTAGAGTGAATTGGCAACCAACAGAATGGGAAAAAATTTTTGCAGTCTACCCATATGACAAAGGGCTGATATCCAGAATTTACAAAGAACTCAAACAGATTTACAGAAAAAAAACAAACAAGTCCATTCAGAAATGGGCAAAGGATATGAACAGACACTTTACAAAAGAAGACATACATGAGGCCAACAAACATATGAAAAAATGCTCATCATCACTGGTCATTAGAGAGATGCAAATCAAAACCACATTGAGATACCATCTCACGCCAGTTAGAATGGTGATAATTTAAAAATCTGGGGACAACAGATGCTGGAGAGGATGTGGAGAAATAGGAACATTTTTACACTGTTGATGGGAGTGTAAATTCATTCAACCATTGTGGAAGACAGTGTGGTGATTCCTTAAGGCCTTAGAAATAGAAATTCCATTTGACCCAGCAATCCCATTTCTGGGTATATATCCAAAGGACTATAAATCATTCTACTATAAGGACACATGCACACGAATGTTCATTACAGCAATGTTTACAATAACAAAGACCTGGAACTGACCCAAATGCTCATCAATGATAGACTGGATTGGGAAAATGTGGCACATATACACCATGGAAGATTATGCAGCAATCAAAAATGATGAGTTTGTGTCGTTTGTAGGGACATGGATGAATCTGGAGAACATCATTCTCAGCAAACTGACACAAGAACAGAAAATGAAATACCGCATATTCTCACTCATAGGCGGGTGATGAAAAATGAGAACACATGGACACAGGGAGGGGAGTACTACACACTGGGGTCTATTGGGGGGGAATAGGGGAGGGACAGTGGGGGGGGAGGTGGGGAGGGATATCCTGGGGAGAAATGCCAAATGTGGGTGAAGGGGAGGAAGGCAGCAAAACACACTGCCATGTGTGTACCTATGCAACTATCTTGCATAATCTGCACATGTACCCCAAAACCTAAAATGCAATAAAAAAATAAAAATAAAAGAATACATATGCAAATAAGTTGACATTATTCTGTTAATACTTTGCTTCATTTTCTGAATATTGACAATATGCATTATGAAGTTACATGGCTAATATAAAGTATTCACTGTGTGTTTCAGACCCTGGGCTCAGTGCTCTACATGCATTATTATTTCATTTCATTCTCTCCATAAGCTCAAGTAGTGTAACCAACCCATTTTACAGAATTGAAACTGAGGCTCAGAGCCTGAAAGTTAAATGCCCGAGGTTGCAGTTAATAAGAGGCAGAGCTGGAACTGAAACCTTTATGTGTCTCACATCCAGTTTATGTTCTAATTGTAGGCTAGTGTGCTTCACAGAGCATGGAGTAGATGGTGCATGCCTGCTAGGATAGACCAGGTATCACTGGAGGTAATAAGCAGCCCCAAAAATGGAAATTTACAACACTTCAGTGTTGGGCTCTTTTCCCAGTCATGCTGCACATCCTCCATGGCTCTCCTGGGCCCTGTGCTTCACATCCCCTCATCTGCCACCAAAATAAAGGGGCAGCCTCTATATGGGATCTATCAGTGGTTCTAAGAGATGGAAGAAAGGGTGGCCAGTCTGAATGGCTTCCAACTGTTTGTCTCCGAGGTGACACACTTCACTTCCACTCACATCTTCTGAGTCAAAGCAAATCCCATAACGACATCCCTCTTCAAGTGGCCCATAGTAGAACTTGAAATACTCAGTGGACTCCATTAGGGCCACCATACGGTGTCAGCCTGTGTGGGAGACTGTGGAGGGGCAGAGGAGGAGAATGGTACTATTTGGGAAATCACAGCAGGACTGAGTCACCTGAGATTTCCTTTATCCTCAACCATGTGGAGTTTATCCCAGAGCTGCACAAACTCAGCAGCAGCATGATCAAACAGGGTAAACCTCAGAAAACGGAATTTGTTCAGCTGTGATCAGCAGTGAACTCAGAATCAGCTGAGTGGCACTGCATCAGTAAAGCTCTGACTGCCTCAGTTACCCCAGATGATCGTGGTGATGATGGGAGCATTGCGAGAGTTGATTTAGAAAGATATCAGGAGTGTGAACATTCAGCATTTTAGTTCCTTTAAGTTAAATCAGGCGCTATCTTTCTTGCATGTCCCCTGTTTTTTTCAGATTGCACAGGTGAGAGTGCTCAGATTAGGGCCAGAGGTCATGAAATATTGGCTCCCACACCAACAGGTCCCCTGTGTCATGCATGCATTCTGTGCATTTTCCTGTGCTAAGTAAGCACTGTCCCAAAACATCGTGGGGCCTGATTCTTCCTCCTTGTTCCAGTGGCCCTGGATGACTCAAGTGCTCATTCAATGATCAGGACACAGAAGTCTTAGAGGAATGCTCTGTGAGATCCCAGGTGCAAGCCACTGCCCTGCCAAAATGTGAGGCAAGGGACAGGGCATCATCTGTTGGGGCAGTGGTCAGACAGGTCTGGTGACTCTAGTTGGTGGACAGATGATCCTGCACCTGCCACCTCTGATGGATCCACTTCCTCTGTGGTTGTTTTTCCTACTGATGCTTCAGTGGCTGCCCCAACATCCCAGCCTAGGCCCAATGACACTGAAGACAGACCTGGCCCCTGGGGACCCAAAAGACCTACAGCATTCCGCTGTCCCCAGGAGTCCCCAGACCCTCATTCTTATCAAGGACCTGGGAGCCCTAACCCATGGCCCTCTGTCATCAGCCATAAATGATGATTTGCTGCTGTTATGATCATCACTGTTTTTAGTGACCAAGGGTTTTTCAAGGTGCCAGCTCTTGAAGGAAAGATGTCCTTGGGAGGTTATGACACTTTGTACATGGGTGCTCAACAGGTTGCTTCCTCCTATCCTCAGACAGCCTTTGACATGGCCATTGACACTCCCATTGTTTGGAAGGAAACCAGCCCAGGGCCACACAGTTGGTCTCAAATCTAAGGTGACTCACTCTACCTCCATGAGGGACCTGCCTGCAAGGGAGGTTGACCCTGGCTTTGGAGAGCCTTTCCTGAGCTGCATGAATCACCTCCCCTGTTTGAGGCCCCAAACTCTGCTCACATCTCCTTCCTTGCTTTGTCTCTGCTTGGGCTATAATCAAGGTGACCCCAGCAACCCTTCATGGACATGATGATACTACTCTCTGCCATTCACTTTTGGCTAATCTGACTTCAATGCCCACTTACTTGGTCTCTTCTTTCACAACCAAGACAACCCAAATCTGGGGCTCTTTATGCAGGTGAGAGCATACTAATAGAATTAAATTCCATAGTTGTGTTATTCCTGTTTCATTTTGTTTGTGCCTCAGGGTTGTTTTTCTTTTTATAATAAAGGCATTTGTAGCATGAATAGAATATTTACAGTTTACAATAACTTTACATCATAGTAAATGGTCAAGACACTGAAAGCAGTGATTTTCAGCTTCGAGAGGCCTGAGTGAGTTTGAGCACTCTGTGTGATCAGGCAGAAGTAGGCTTTGGGGAAGTTTAGCTGAGGATGGAGCCAGGAAAGATGATGGACAGAGGGGGTCTGACCTGGTCACCAGACCCCTGGGTCCTGCCCACCTGCCTGGCACCCACCAGCCATCACTCATGATCTGCCAAATCCCCCAGGGAAGAGGCTGATGAACTTTGTCTCTTGAATTACGCAGATTCCGTGGCCATCCCTGGGAAGTCCACCATGGGAGTCAACTTGGCTTTCTCCCCCTCATTAGGGTTTAGAATTAAAAGCCCACCTTCACAGGCAGTAAGATAATATAGATAAGTGACAACATCACCCTGTTTCAGATGTTAACATGGCTAGGTGGGTTAAGGGTAATTTGAGACCACACAACCTTGTGCCACAAAGTGAAATTCGTAGGCCAGAGGGAGACATTTGATTGTCATGTTATGATCTTATCACTGAGTATAAAAGCAGTCTTGTTTCATTTTGGATTCTTTCTTATGTTTATAAGAAAGAATGTTTATGTTTCTTATGTTTATGTGCTTTGAAGTTCCAAGCATATAATAATTTTTGGATGGCTTTTAATCATTCACTTCTAGCACAATTCTATGATCAGAAACATGCTGTGTGATTGGATTGCTCTGAAATATGCTGAGATTTGCTTAATGAACAAGATAATTGAGTTTAAGTTTTTTAAATGTACCATGCATGATTAAAATGAATGTTGCTCCACATCCCCTCATCTGCCATCATCCGAGATATGGGATGATGGATGATGGCTCCATGGATGTGATGGAGATGCTTTACTGTTGGGACCTTCTGCATCCTTCTGATGTTTTGTTGCTTAGAATATGAATGGTGGAGAGGGGGCTGTGGAGCTCCCACTCTGCTTGTGTGTGAGATTCTTCCTGCCATCATTTGTTTCTTATGTTTTACAGCCAAAACTGACTGCGAGAAACCCTGGGAGCTCAGGAAGGAAGGAGCTACTCAGAAGCAGGGACAGGGAGCTGGTGGGAAAGACCAGAAGTCAGGTCTGTGAAGGTTCCAGAGAGGACCTGTCCTTGGGAGTCAAGTAGGGGGCCTGAGATGGCCGAGGGGCATTGGAGGACACAGGTGCTCCATGGAATGTCCACTGTGAGGTACCACATTCTGGGGCCGGGGATTGGTGGAGAGGGAGTATAAAGCCCCGGGGTTGCTTAGGCAGCGCCCAGACCGGAGAAGGTTTGGTGGAAACCAGAGTCCTGGTCTCCATTTAATTGCTCCTGAGCGTCCTGCTTTCTTGCCCCATGTATCCTGTTGCTTCCCTGATAGACTTTCTCCCTGACTTGTAGCTGAACCTCCCACTCTCGCTTGAAGACTTAGTTTAAACCGGATTTTTTCCCAGACCCCTTTCTCCTCCCCCTCCACCGGGTGCCCAACAGCCCCCTACTCCTCCCTCGCCTTCTCTCCCACTCCCCTCCCCAACTCAGATTCCAACTCATCCCCATCCCCTTCCTTCCCCCAGCCCTTAGGCACCACCATCTCTGTCCCGGCTGCCTCAGGGCACCCTGAGAAGATTAGGAGATGTGGGTGTGGTGGCTGCTTTTTTGGCTCCTCCTGCTGGGGTTTCCCAGCCATCAATCCACCCTTGTGAGTAGACACTAGACCCTCGGGGTTTCTTCCTTGTTATTGGGCTGTGTCATGTGGCCCATTACACAGTGCAGGCCTGTAATTTCAGCACTTTTTGGGGTTAAGGTGGGCAGATCACCTGAGTCCAGGAGTTCAAGACTAGCCTGGGCATCATAGCCAAACCCCATCTCTATAAAAGATTCCAAAAAAAATGAGTCAGGCCTGGTGGCTCATGGCTGTAGTCTCATCTACTTTAGAGGCTGAGGTGGGAAGATTGCTTGGGCCCAGGAGTTGGTGGTTTCAGTGAGCCAAGATTGCCCACTGCACTTTTGTCTCAAACAAAATGAACCAAAACAAAGTGAAATGTCATTTGAGTTTTGTGTCATCTCGTTTGATGACTTTTTAGGAAATGCTGTGCCATCCCTGTCTTCTGCTCTTGGGGGCTGTCTCTAGGGAGTCTGTGTCCAGTCAGTGTGATGGGAGCTGAGAAGCCCATCAGATGGAGAGGAAAGGGTTGCACCTGCTGGGAGGTTCAAAATGCAGGAGTCACTAGGAGTGACAGAACCAGGATGTGAATGACCGTATTGTCCTTTGTTCTGTAAAGTGTATATGGTTCAGGTCATTGATTGACCTGAAGAAGAAAGGGTCTTCAAGTCTTTGTTATTTAAATATAAAGAAATGACAGGCCTGGTATAGTGGCTCACTCCTATAATTGGGAGGCTGAGGCTGGTGGATCAGTTTAAGTCAGGAGTTCCAGACCAGCCTGAGCAACATGGTGAAACCCTGTCTCTACTAAAAATATAGAAATTAGCTAGGCATATTGGCAGGCGCCTGTAATCCCAGCTACTCTAAAGGCTGAGGCAGGAGAATGGCTTGAACCCAGGTGTCAGAGGTTGCAGTGAGCCGATATTGCACCATTTCACTTTAGCCCAGGCAACTGAGTGGGACACAGTCTCAAAAAAAAATTTTTTTTGGGGGGTGTTTGGTAATTTTTCTTTTTTTGAGACAAAGTTTCCCTCTCATCTCCTGGGCTGGAGTGCAATGGTGCAATCTCAGCTCACTGAAACCTCTGCCTCCCTAGTTCAAGTGATTCTTCTGCCTCAGCCTCCTGAGTAGGTGGGATTCCAGGGCCTCACCACCACACCTGGCTAATGTTTGTATTTTTGGTCGAGACAATGTTTCACCATGTTGGCCAGGCTGGTCTGGAACTCCTGAACTCAGGTGATCCACCAGTTTCAGCATTCTCACAGTGCTAGGATTACAGGCATAGGCCACTGTGCCTGGCCTTCTTGTGATTTTTTTTTTAGATCATAAGCTATTATTAGTGTTAATGTATTTTATGTGTGGCCTAAGACAACTCTTCTTCTTTTAATATTGCCCAAGGAAGCCATAAAATTGGGTATCCCTGGTTTATATCAAGAAAAAAACACTCTACATCTGGAATGTCTAAAAACACTACCAGCCATGCAAAAAACACGAGACTGGTAACTTCCAATCTGTTTTGAAGCAGTGGAATCCCCTGGTGGTATCTGAGGGGTGTGGTTTCCTCCTGGAGGAGGTTGATAGTTTCTAAAAATTATTATTATTTACTGAAATATTATAAATGTCATTGACCTTTTCATTATTTCTACTGTTATTCCAGGTGATCAGGTTTCTACTTGATTATTTGTATCCTGGGCATGACCTTCTTGGTGTTCTGTGGATGCCTATCCCTATTGTGTTTTTGGGAGTTTCTACAGTTGGACTTTTCCTCTGAAAAATTATCTTCCATGTGAGTATACTAACTTCCTGTACAGGTATACTTGTAATCACAAAGAAGATATTATTTAAAACAGTTCATGGTTCTGGACTTTATTATGAATATTCAGTTTTACCAAAACCATCAGGGAAATGATTTATTAGCATAAGAATTATAAAAATATCTTCCATTTACATTATAAAAATTGAATAGGTTGATGTTTGTTTCATAGAATGTCAACAGAGCTTTGGGTCCAAAATAAGTTTTTTTGTCTGCTCTTTATCAGAAATGGAGTATGAAGTTTTGGCATTTAAATAGGAGATTTTGTCTAAACTTTTCTGCTTTATAATTCTGTTGTATGGCTGGAAGGAAAGCTTTCACTGTCCTCTTTAATGGTTCACTGCAGAAATGAACTAACAGACAGCTTAACAAGAGAAGAAAAGCATAGAACAGGCATAAACATGGGAGCCAGGCAAAAAATGAGACTGTAAGAAGGGGCAGATGGTTAAAGAGCACCGTCTTTTCAGGGGTGAGGGAGATAGATGGAGATGGAGGCAATTTAGAGGGGCAGCAAATAAATTTTAATGGAAATGAAGGAGTCCAAGGAACAAATGGTTGGCCCAAGACAAAGTTTCTCTGAGATCATAGGGACGAGGCGACAAACTGCAGGAAGGTGAAGGGCAGAACTGCACTGCATCTCATGATGCAGAGAAAGCCCCAGAGAATCTGTTGCAACTGCCCTTCAGAGAATCAATAAAAAATGTGTCTTGGCAGGGTAATTTTGAATGACATCATTAAAGTGCATGTTCCCGGTTGCAGGTGGAGAGGGATGAGCATGTCCAAAGTCTGTAGTTTATAGGAATTTGGCCACTAAGTTGTGCCATCATTTGAGGCTTTTTGTCCACTGGGTAAATTGAGCTCTACATTTTCTCTTGTCTTTCATGACAGTCAAAACGTGGTTGTCTGGGGGCTAACCCTTCTTCTGAACAATGATCCAAGAAAAAAGTACTAATCCCAACATGCTCTTTTATATTCAAGGGAAGAGGAAGTATGTTTTATTTATACAATCTAGATAATTACCCACCCTTCGGGACTGCCTTTCAAGATACATAGAAAACAGAAAATTGATGAGTTATGAAGATATCTAGGCACATTTAACAATCTCTCCTTTTTTTTCTTGAAACAGAGTTTCACTCTCTGGCCAGGGCTGGAGTGCAGTGGCATAATCTCAACTCACTGCAACCTCTGTTTTCCAGGTTCCAATGAGTTTCCTGCCCCAGCCTCCCATGTTGCTAGAATTACAGGCATACACCACCATTCCCAGCTAATTTTTGTATTTTTGGTAGAGATGGGATTTCACCATTTTTGCCAGGCAGGTCTTGAACTGTGAACTCAGGTGCTCCACCTGCCTCAGCCTCCAAAAGTGCCAGGATTACTGGTGTGAGCCACCATGATCTGCTGCATTTAACAGTCTCTACCCCACTTAGTTCTGAACAGAGAGTTGTCAATATCAATTGGGGGAAGTTTTCTTTTTCTTTTTTTTGACAGAATCTGGCTCTGGCACCCAGACTGGAGTATAATGGTGTGATCTTGGCTCACTGCAACCTCTACCTCCTGGCTTTAAGTGATTCTCCTGCCTCAGCCCACTGAGCAGCTGGAACTTCAGGTGGTTGCCACTACACCCAGCTAATTTTTGTATTTTTAGTAGAGATGTGGTCTCACTGTGTTTGCCAGGCTGGTCTGAAACTTCCAATCTCAAGTGATCCACTCACCTTGGCCTCTCAAAGTGCTGGGATTACAAGCATGAACCACCATGCCTGGGGAGGGGTTTTTTTTTTAATGTGTCAGTTCTGATTTTAACTCCCAGGTAATACAAACTTCTGGGAGTTAAGATCAGAAAAAATAAATTCTACAAAGAACTTGAAAGATGTTCTTTCAGACTGGGCATGGTGGCTTTTTCAGATTGTCCCTCTGCAAGAAAGGGTAAGTTTGACAACTGGGTAAGTTTTGTTTGTTTTCCTTGGTTTTGGGCATAGTCTGCCAGGTCAGGACGTGGATGTATTTTTCTCCCCACAGCTCTGTGCTCAAGCCTTGGAGAGGGAGATGGCTGAGAGGAAGCCTGCCTACAAGCAGCACAGGTAGGTCATTGTAATGGATTTTTTTTCTTTTTGAGTGAGAATCTCACTCTTTCTCTCAGACTGGAGTGTAGGGGTGCAGTCTCAGCTCACTGCAACCTCCAATTCCTGAGTTCAAGTAATTCTCTGTATCAGGCTCCCCAGTAGCTGGGATTACAAGCATGCACCACTACACCTGACTAGTTTTGTAATTTTAGTAGAGACAGAGTTTCTACATGTTGGTCAGGCTGATCTCGAACTCCCAACCTCAGGCGATCTGCCCACCTCAGCCTCCAAAAGTGCTGGGATTGCAGGAGTGAGCCACCATGCCCAGTTGTGATGGTCACTTTTAAGGATGTTTTTGTTTTAAGATGAAGCTTTGAGTGTCTAGTAAAGAATGTGGTGTTTTAATTCTTCTTCAAATCAATTCTTTCTCTGTTTTCTATATGGGAAAGGAGAAGAAAGCAGAGAGTGCCAGAGAGACACATGAGTGAGGAGCCAGCCCAGAAACGCCTGTGCCTAAAGAACACTTTCTGGAGAGGTAGGAGCTCCCATGAAGGCAGCTGCTTAATTTCTGCTGCACAATCCACACACCCTACTTCTCCTTTTTGGGGTTCGGGCTCGGGTGGGGTAATTGTCGTATTTCCTGGAAACAGTTTCAAGCACTTACAAAGAGAACAGTTGCCCCATTGGGTGGTAGGGCCCCATTTTTCTCAGGTGCCCGAGCTGAATGGCTCTTGGCTGGTCCCCTGTGAATGGTGCAGGCCCCTCCACTGACTGTGGACATTGCCCCACCCTGATGTCTTAGCTACTTTTAACTGTGAAGATAAGCCTGCAAGGCAAATGGTCCAGCACCCCTTCCCACCTTGAGTCAGTGTGATGACTTTATTTTTCTTTCATTTGAGAAAAGTCACAACAAAAGCATTTTAGAATGGGAGCTATAAATGCTGATGAGAGCAGAGATTTTAGGGCAATGTCTTCATGGATCAATCAGGCAGTATCATGAAGTCTGCTTTAAGAAGAGAATCATTTATTTGCACTTTTTGGAACTTCCTTTATTCTTTTTGCTTGTTTAAATTGTTTATTGTGAATTATGTAACTCCTTTAGTAAGCTAAATATCTATGTAATCTTACTTCTCTAACATTTGAAGGGTCACCATAAAACTTTCCAGTTAATTTCCTTCCTTCCTCCCTCCCTCCCTCCCTTCCTTCCTTCCTTCCCTCCTTACTTCCATCCTTCCTTCTTGAAAACCTTGCTGTGTCACCCAGGCTGGAGTACAGTGGTGCAATTTTTGCTCACTGCAACCACCGCCTCCTAGGTTTAAGCAATTCTCCTGCCTCAGCCTCCCAAGTAGCTGGGACTACATGCACCTGCCACCATGCCTGGCAAATTTTTTCATTTAGTATTTTTAGTAGAGACAGACTTTCACCATGTTGGCCAGGCTTGCCTCTAACTCTGCCTGCCTTGGCCTTCCAAAGTGCTGGGATTATGAGTGTGAGCCATGGCACCCAGCCTCCATTTAATTTCTGTAACTCTGACCTTTTCTCATGAGTGTTAGTCTCTTTATGTTTATTTCTATTCATAAATATTGACAATGCCTGGTGAGATATAGAGGATAGATTCACTACAAATCCACAGAATTTTAAATGCCCCTATAGCTTGAAGAAAAGGAGCAGTGCTGCTTCTGTCCGGTACCTATAGATGTTCTTCCAATCTATGGCTGTTTCTATTTTAATCTGGAGTCTGTGATCACATGCTGGGTGATTTCCTTTGATGTGTACCAGGAAGCCCTGACTTCAAGCTCATTTTAGCTGGTTAGAGCCTAACCTGTCCACAGCCTGTTGAGAGTTAAGAAAACCCCTGGACCAGGGATCTGCAGTGTCTTCCTCAGGACTGAGGCTCAGAGGGCTCCAGGGTCCTTTGAGGCATCTGGATAATAAACCCTGTGCCTCTGGTAAGGGACATGAGTGTGGCAAAGAGAGTGAGATGACAGCAGAGGGCATGAAGTGTTGCTTATTCGGCACAGAACATGCAAGCCAGATTTAGCCTGATTCCCTTCTCTGGCCCTTAGCAGATTCAGGACCTCATTCGGTTCCCCCGAGGAACAGCAGCTGCATCCCAACTGAAAACACACAGATGACAAAGGTAAATGCTGGGGTCATTTTCACTCTGCCTGTGTCAGGACACTGTAGTCTTTTCCTCCATCACCCTCTCCTGGCCTGGCCTCTGCTCTGTGTGTTCTTTGATACGTTTTCTGTCTGGACTTTTTCAGAAGCAACATCTTCCCCATAAGCTTTCTGGCTTCTCCATTCTCAACTATTCATCTTGGGTGGCATGTCCAGAAGCCATAAATGCTTAGGGACTGAGGGCTGAAGGGCTTTTACTGTTCTGTTTCCAGAAATAACATGAGGAATGCCACCGACCTCCACCTCTGTAGGTCTCATGGCCCAGTGAACTCTGACTGATCTCTTTTACTTAAAGTGTTGTGGAGTCTATTTCAGAAATATGTGGGGTTTTATTTTGCTGTGATTTTGTTTGTTTTCCTCTATAAGGTAGGTGATTAACATTTGAAATATCTGCTGTATTTCCAGAAGTGATGAAAGTGAAAACTCATTAATCCAACATTAACAGGTGCTCCCTATTATTATTACTCTTTAAGTTCTTGGGTACATGTGAAGAACATGCAAGTTTGTTACATGGGTATACATATGCCATGGTAGTTTGCTGCACCCATCAACCTGTCATCTACTTAGGTATGCTAATGGTAACCTCCTACCACCTGAGAGTCCCTGGTGTGTGATGTTTCCCTTCCTGTGTCCATGTGTTCTTATTGTTCAGCTCCCACTTAAGAGTGAGAACATGTGGTGCTTGGTTTTCTGTTCCTATATTAGCTTGCTGAGAACTATGGTTTCCACCTGCAAAGGACATGAACTCATTCTTTTTTGCAGATGCATAGTATTCCATGGTGTATACGTGCTACATTTTCTTTATCCAGTCTGTCATTGATGGGCATTTGGCCTAGTTCCAAGTTTTTACTATTGTAAATAGTGCTGCAGTAAACATACACATGCATGTGTCTTTATAGTATAATTATTTACAATCCTTTGGGTACGTACCCAGTAATAAGATTGCTGGGTCAAATGGCATTTCTAGTTCTAGATCCTTGAGGAATCACCACAGTGAACTAATTTACATTCCCACCAACAGTGTAAAAGCATTCCTATTTCTCCATATCCTTTCCAGCATCTGTAGTTTCCCGACTTTTTAATGATTGCTATTTTAACTGGCTTGAAATGATATCTCATTGTGGGTTTGATTTGCATTTCTCTATTAGTGATGGTGAGATTTTTTTCATGTTTGTTGGCTGCATAAATGTCTTCTTTTGAAAAGTGTCTGTTCATGTCCTTTGCCCACGTTTTGATGGGGTGCTTTTTTTTCTTGCAAATTTAAGTTCTTTATAGATTCTGGATATTAGCCCTTTGTCACATGGATAGATTACAAAAATTTTCTTTCATTCTGTTGGGTGCCTGTTTGCTTTAATGATAGTTTCTTTTGCTGTGCAGAAGCTCTTTAGTTTAATTAGATCCAATTTATCAATTTGGCTTTTGTTGCCATCATTTCGGTGTTTTTGTCATGAAGTCCTTTCCCATGCCTATATCCTGAATGGCATTGCCTAGGTATTTTTCTAGGGTTTTTATAATTTTAGGTCTTAGATTTAAGTGTTTAATTGATCTTGAGTTAATTTTTGTATAGGGTGTATGAAAGGGATTCAGTTTCAGCTTTCTGCATATGGTTAGCCAGTTTTCCCAATATCGTTTATTAAATAGGGAATTCTTTCCCCATTGCTTTTGTCAGAACTGTCAAAGATCAGATGATTGTAGATGTGTGGTATTATTTCTGAGGCCTCTGTTCTTTTCCATTGGTCTGTGTATCTGTTTTAGTACCAGTACCATGCTGGTTTTGTTACTGTAGCCTTGTAGTATAATTTGAAGTCAGCCTTAGCTTTGTTCTTTTTGCTTAGGATTGTCTTGGCTATGCAGGCTCTCTTTTGGATCCATATAAAAGTTAAAGTAGATTTTTCCTGTTCTGTAAAGTAAGTCAGTGGTAGCTTGATGGGAAGGGCATTGAATCTATAAATTACTTTTGGCAGTGTGGCCATTTTCATGATACTGATTATTCCTCACCATGAGCATGGACTGTTTCTCCATTTGTTGATGTCATCTCTTTTCCTTGAGCAGTGGTTTGTAGTTTTCCTTGAAGAGGTCCTTCACATCCCTTGTAAGTTGCATTCCTAGGTATTTTATTCTTTTTGTAGCAGTTGTGAATGGGAGTTCACTCCTGATTTGGCTCTCTGTTTTTCTGTTATTATTGTATAGGAATGCTTGTGATTTTTGCACATTGATTTTGTATCCTGAGACTTTGCTGAAGTTTGCTGTCAACTTAAGGAGATTATTGGCTGAGATGATGGGGTTTTCTAAATATATAGTCATACCAACTGTAAACAGAGACAGTTTGACTTTCTTCTTTTCCCAATTGAATATCCTTTATTTCTTGCTCTTGCTTGATTGCCCTGGCCAGATATTTTAATACTATGTTAAATAGGAGTAGTGAGAGAAGGCATACTATTCTAATATATTATGGTGAATAGAAGTGGTGAGAGAGGGCATACTTGTCTTGTGCTGGTTTTCAAAGGGAATGCTTCCAGTTTTTGCCCATTCAGTATGATATTGGCTGTGGGTTTGTCATAAATACCTCTTAACTATTTTGAAATACATTCCATCCATACCTAGTTTATTGAGTTTTTAGAATAAAAGACTGTTGAATTTTAACCATGGACTGTTTGAATTTTCCTCTACACACTGCTTTAAATGTTTCCCAGAGATTTTGGTATGTTGTGTCTTTGTTCTCACAGGTTTCAAAGAACATCTTTTTTTCTGCCTAATTTCATTATTTACTCAGTAGTTGTTCAGGAGCAGATTGTTATGTGGTTTTTGAGTTGCTTAATCCTGAGTTCTAATTTGATTGCTCTGTGGTCTGAGAGACTGTTTGTTATGATTTCCTTTCTTTTGCTTTTGCTGAGGAGTGTTTTACTTCCAATTATGTGGTCAATTTTAGAATAAGTACGATGTGGGTCAGGTACAGTGGCTCATGCCTATAATTCCAGCATGTTGGGAGGTTGAGGTGGGCAGATCATGAGATTAGGAGATCAAGACCAACCTGACCAACATGGTGAAACCCTGCCTCTACTAAAAATGCAAAAATTAGCCAGGCACAGCAGCATGCACCAGTGGTTCCAGCTATTCAGGAGGCTGAGGCAGGAGAATTGCTTGAACAGAAGTTGCAGTGAGCCGAGATTGCACCAGTACATTCCAGCCCTGGGTGAGAAAGCGGGACTCTGCTTCACAAAAGAAAAAAAAAAACAGTAAGTGCAATGTGGTACGGAGAGGAATGTATATTCTGTTGATTTGGGATGGAGAGTTCTGTAGATGTTTATTAGGTCTGCTTGGCCCAGAGCTGAGTTCAAGTCTTGGATATCCTTGTTAATTTTTGTCTTGTTGATCTGTTTGACAGTAAGATGTTAAAGTCTCCCATTATTGTTTGGGTGTCTCTTTGTAGGTTTCTAAGAACTCGCTTTATGAATCTAGGTGCTCCTGTATTTGATGCATATATGTTTAGGATAGTTAGCTCTTCTTGTTTTATTGATCCCTTTACCATTACCTTTTTCTCCTTTGATCTTTGTTGGTTTAAAGTCTGTTTTATCAGAGACTAGGATTGCAATCCCTACTCTTTTTTTTTTTTTTGCTTTCCCTCTGTTTAAATATTCCTCCATCCCTTTATTTTGAGCCTATGTGTGTGTTTGCATGTGATATGGGTCTCCGGAATACAGTATACTGATGGTTCTTGACTCTTTATTCAATTTGTCAGTCTGTGTGTTTTAATTGGGGTCTTTAGCTCATTTACATTTAAGGTTAATAATGTTACATGTGATTGTGATTCTTCCATTATCATGCTAGCTGGTTATTTTGCCCATTAGTTGATGCAGTTTCTTCATAGCGACAATGGTCTTTACAATTTGGTACGTTTTTGCAGTGGCTGGTACCTGTTGTTCCTTTCCATGTTCAGTGCTTCCTTCAGAAGCTCTTGTAAGGTAGGCCTGGTGGTGACAAAAATCTCTCAGCATTTTCTTGTCTGTAAAGGATTTTATTTCTCCTTCACTTATGAAGTTTAGTTTCTCTGGATATGAAATTCTGGGTTGAAATTTTTTTTCTTTAAGAATGTGGAAGATTGGTTTCCACTGTCTTCTGGCTTGCTGGGTTACTGCTGAGAGATCTGCTGTGGGTCTGATGGGCTTCTTTTTGTGGATAACCTGACCTTTCTCTCTGGCTGCCCTTAACATTTTTTCCTTCTTTTCATCCGTGGTGAATCAACAATTATGTGTCTTGGGGTTGCTCTTCTCAAAAAGTATCTTTGTGGTGTTCTCTGTATTTCCTGGATTTGAATGTTGGCATGCCTTACTAGTTTGGGGAAGTTCCTGGATAAGATCCTGAAGAATGTTTTCCAACTTGGTTCTATTCTCCCCATCACTATCAGGTACACCAATCAAATGTAGACTTGGTCTTTTCACATAGTTCCATATTTCTTGGAGGATTTGTTTATTTCTTTTTACTCTTTTTTCTCTAATCTTGTCTTCTCACTTTATTTCATTGAGTTGATATTCAGTCTCTGATATTCATTCTTCTGCTTGATCAGTTCGGCTATTGATACTTGTGTATGCTTCATGAAGTTCATGTGCTGTGTTTTTCAGCTCCATCAGGTCATTTATATTCTTCTCTAAACTGGTTGTTCTAGTTAGCAATTCATGTAACCTTTTATCAAAGTTCTCAGCTTCCCTGCATTGGGTTAGAACATGCTCCTTTAGCTTAGAGGAGTTTGTTATTACCCCGTTTCTCAAGCCTACTTCTGTCAATTCATCAAACTCATTCTCCATCCTGTTTTGTTCCCTTGCTGTCGAGGAGTTGTGATCCTTTAGAGGAGAAGAAGTGTTCTGGTTTTTGAAATTTTCAGCTTTTCTGTACTGGTTTCTCCCCATCTTTGTGGATTTATCTACCTTTGGTCTTTAAAGTCAGTGACCTTCGGAGGGGTCT